GCGGATTGTAAGAGCTTCTAACCCTGTAAATCGAGTACGAAGGAGTGTGTACATATTGGAGGATATGGAACCAAAATATACGTCTAACCTCTTTATGACTTTGGCTTGATCCGATGTCGCTACATCATAGATCAGGGCTTGGTGACTACCATCGATCGACTGCAATATGTTATAGATTCCAGGGTAGTAGAATCCAATGGAACGGAGGTTCTTGCTTTGAATAGACGACTTGATGGCTTCTACGAGAGTCGTTGGAGGGGAGGGAGGAGGTACCCCTTTCGATTTTGCCTGACGATGTCCAATAGACCGAATCCTCCTCGAAATGGAAGAGAACACTACTGCCATGGCCGATGCTTCTGAGCTAGAGGACGAAGAGGACGAGTCTGCGCTTAGAAGATGATAGAGCCCAACCGAGTGAATGTTGCTGCACAAAGAAAGTATTTGGATTAGCCTTGGCTCATTAGATAGACCGCCTTTAAGGACCAAACCGGCGCGTAGGGTACGAATATGTGTTCCGTATCGGGTGACAACTTCATAGTCGATTTCATTATTCAATTCAAACAGATTGAGCTCTTGATAGATGAATGACGTCAAGAAATCATTAAAGAGTCGATTTACTCTGTGTTATAACATTTAGCAGATGATACTCGTGGATAGAGGAAGCCACCTACAGTCTCAATGGCAGGACTGCCTTGTAATGAGCAGTGAGATCTTCTCTGGAATACTCATCTTCTGCATCACTCTGAGAATGCCCCTTGCGAGACCACCAATTTGGGATACCGTACAGCTCTTTCCAGGCAGCCTCCTCAGCTATGGTTGGGGAGACCATATCAACTTTGAAATATTGCAATATTTCTTGTATTAGTTCCGTCGGAAGAACGTCCATTTTGGTCAAAAATAGTTTTGCCTGCTAGTTGGCGAGATCCAAGCCACCCGGTCGAATTTGCAACATGACGTCTCTTACGCGACCCCACTCGAAGCTTCAAACTCGCCGGCATTTGATAATGTCGTACAACACCTGATAAGATCAGCACTTCACGATTGGACGATGATAGCGGTCGAGAAAGTCTCCTGACCTCGTGGACGAGATCCTTCCTCATACCCTACGATCATTAGAATACCCAAATAACCTTATCTTGGGGTGTTTGTTGACATGAACAAGCCAGAAACAAGGTACCGATGCCCAACAAATTGGCAAAGAAGGCCAGTGACACGACTTAAACGGCCCTGAGTTGACGAGGAAGTGCATGCCTATACTTGCACCATTCTGCTGATTCCTTTTCTCTTCCATGGTCAGTGGTCATACCGCCGTGCTGTTTCTCTTCTCATATCGTTGTGTCCAGTCTGAAGTGCTTCCAACGCGTCTCTTCGAGCTCAAACCGCCTTTTACACCAAAGGACGGCAAACTATACTACGGAGTCCTGCACAAGGACGCCAGAAACTTGCCCCAACCCTTGAGCTACTGCACTGTGAGCTTCGTCTGGGGAGAAAGTCCGTCACCAGTCGATGTCGAATCGGTGCCTTGGCCAGTACCAATCTCCTCGCAGGCAAAGCTCGACTTCATACTAGAGAGTTGCTCGAACCAAGGCTTCAAGTATGTATGGCTTGATATTCTGTGCATCAACCAGAGGCGGGATGATGAAGCAGCGCACAAAGATCAAGCAGCGGAAATACCAAAGATGGAGACATACTATGCCAATTCGACAGCAACAATTGTCTTCGGACTGAACTACGAGAATTTTGCTATCAATTGGTCAAAGGTGGCTTCCGTTGTCGACATCTGGTTAGCCGACCGAGATGGCAAGTCTCTGGAGACCCGCGACGCTGTCTGGGAGGGACTAGCAGGCATCGATGATGTCATGCAAGATAGCTGGTTCTGGCGAGTTTGGACTTTACAAGAAGCTGTCGTCCCTATTGTTTCCTCCCGACGTCTCGTCACCTCGTCCGGCACCGACATGGCACTCGATATCCTTGCCGACTTGATCGATTGGATTAACTCTCAACTATCCATGGGGACCCTAGATGGGGAAACCCCGTATGATTGGGTTCATCCTGGTGAAGGGGTTGTCGTCGATCGTGACTGGTGGAACAATACCGAATATCTCAAGGAGGCCCTAAATTACAAGAGTGTTCCAATACATCCACTGTCTGTTCTGAATATCACCCGTGAGAGGGGATGTGCTAGGGCAGTGGATCGACTCCGAGGAGCCTATGCGATTCTCGACAATGGTTGGCATATCGACGCTCTAGAGGCGGAGAAAGAAGCGAGTAGAGATACAGACCTCAGTATGGCAGAGCACTATGAAAGGATATACCATGTCACATGGCAAATGACCGTGGATAAATATATCAAACAGAAGATCCCCGATTGCGTTCCTCTGGTCTCAATGAGGATTACACAATTTCCTAGTCGAACGTGGGATTGCACACCCTGGCTGCCGGAATCAATTACAAACCCCGAAGATGGAACGTGGAACCCAGCTCGATGGCTCAAGTGGAAAGATATTACGGAATCCACGAATGATGATTGGGGAATTGATGAGATACAGTCGGGACATGGGGAGATACAGATGGAATACGGGCGTTATATCAATGAAACTGGTAAGTGGAGAAACCCTAGCCATTGCTATGCCTACAGGTCGCTCACATATACTTCCATTCACCAGCTGAACTGGTGCTTGATGATGGACCTACGAAAGGCTCACTTCGTCTGAAGGCTTCAGCTATCGAGAGAATCGCCGAGGTCGAATATGGTGCATCATTTGGTGACGGTAGTGGCGAACTTTCGAGGATGTTTTATTACATCATCCAGCTTCAGAGAGACTATGACATCTCGGCAATTGTCGTTCTACTCTTACGTGCAGCGGAACATACCCTGCGCCATCGTGTGCAAGGGGAAGAAGAGGACAAATATTTCACCTCAGCTAAGACCGCCCTCGGAAATGGAGACCATCGCCGTGCTCTGGAGTATTTGTGCTTCCTCCAACTCCGAGATGGGAATGCATTTAGCACCGGATTTCGTGAAGTGTTCAACGGGTGGGACCGGTGGATTGTGACGACGGAGGATGACCGATCCTATCTTGCCTGGTTCCCTTGGAGAGACAATACTGATAGGCTGAGCAAGTGCCACCTTATATGGACCTGTCCAGGACACAATGAATGGGCATTACTCGGTGAGCCTACTTCAGAAGCTGGTCAATATAGGAAGGTGGGTGTCGTTTTCGTGGACTCGTCAAACGACAAAGATGGAGCTTTGGTGACGATACTGTAATACACGTTTAGCTGTAATTAAGTGGTTTGCGTAGTCAATAAAAGCCTGGTTTCAACATTACCTTTCGCATACAGTCATAGAAAATGATCGGAAATAGCTAGATTTGAAACATTGAAGTGTCGGACGGAATATACATTGTAATTCTGGAATAAAACATGAAAATCTACCACCAGCCATACCTATGGTGAATTAACCATGTCGCATCCCGTCGGAACTCTATCTTCCTTGCATCACACACCATCTTTAGCTCTGTTTCCGACTTCCCTTCCACTAGAAACCGCTCGTATCCATCAAATGCTTTGCTTTCCAATGGTTCAGCATGTAATAACTGGAGATGAGGGAAGATCTCATTATCTCCTAGAAATGTATTGGCAAGGTGTGCGGCATGAAGACTAGTAGCCGTGATCTCCAAGACGGGGATGGTGCCCATGACCAGTATCTCCCATGTGAGCATATGCTCGATATGCATTGCTTTGAGTGGCTTTCGCTGGTTCCACCACCCATCAGATTGAGAGCTCCATCCCTTGCTCCGTTCATGCTGTAGTGATGGAGAAGGATCCCCACAAGCAGAGATCAAGAAGTACTCCAATGAAGTAAAATGGCGAACGAGTTCCGGAATATGGGGCGGGTATATGTTGCTACAACCGATTAGTTGTAGGCTAGTAAGGTTGGAATACGATGTCCAGTATGGCTCGTTGTACTGGGGTAGCGTCCAAATAGGTCCAATTCGTGGTTCAAGTGAGTTGCGAAAGGTCAAGGCCTCTAGGGCTATGAATCGCGTTCTAATGAGGATGTACAGATCCAAGGCCATGGATCTAAAGTACAGATCTAGTCTTTTTATTGACTTTGCCTGGTCAGACATGGCAATCCCGTAGAGTAGTCCTTGGTCCCTGGCATCGAGATTCTCTCCTGGACTATTATAGCTATTTGGAGAGTAGAATCCGAGAGATAAAAGTTTTCCACCTTTTATAGAGGCCAGAATTCGTTGCAGAAGAGGTGACGAAGAGAAACCAGGGTCAATTGCTTGGAGGACTCTTCGGTAGTAAAGGCTAAGGGATTGGACATTTTCGCACAGAAACAAGACGTTTACAAGTCTCCTTTCATAAGGTTGGGGGGCGTTGGCCACTATTCTTGCCCGAATGATTTTGACGTATTTCCCATAGGAAGCCGCAATGTGCTCCGTGTGCTCATCGTCTAGATCGAATAAGTTGATTTCTTGGTAGACAAATGGGGTGCATATGTCGTTGAAAAGTCTATTAACCCTATTGGTGTGTGACTTATTGACTATATCCGTTCTCCAACTGAACGACTTACAATCTCAATGGAAGGATCTCCTTATACTGAATATTTGGGTCTGCTTCGTGATCTTCCATGAAGTAATGCATATCATTCCCAGACCACCAATTTGGAATCCGCGCCAGTTCCCTCCAAGTGGCATCCTTCCCTACCATTGGTGAGGTAATGTTGGGCTCGAGATTTAGAAGAATTTGTTGGATGAGTTCCACTGGAAGTGTGTTCATTGTGGTTGAGGACCGTTGGTGTGCGCGAGTGTGGGTAGCTCCAAGTTCCACTTATGAATGATCACCCTTACTCCTTAATTTTCTTTGGAATGCCCCCCTTGTGTTAAACGGATTCGATTCACAGTCACTATAGTTAATTTCCTCAACAGAGCATGCTAAATAGACATGCCGACACGATAAGCTTTGGCAAGCCTAATGCGAAGCTGGTAACGGAATAAAACTACCACCAACCATAGTCTACGTGAACTATCCAAGATCCATCTCGGTGAAGCTCAATCCCCCTTGAATCGCAAACTTTCAACAAGCCCGGATCCATGTCCTGTTCGTATTTAACAGCAGCCCCCCCAAGAACATGCTCCCATCTCTTCGAGGATTCCTTTCGGAGTAGACGCAGATGCGGAAAGATTTCATTATCTTCAATGAATGCTTTGGCAAGATGTGCAGCACGGAGACCGACCGCTGTCATCTCTAAGGTGGGAATTGTGCCCATCGCCAGTATCTCCCAGAGAATCATATGTTCCATATGTATTGATTTAAGTGGTCTGCGTTGGTTCCACCACCCATCGGGATGGAAACTCCAGCCTTTACTCCGCCCGTGGGGTACCGCTGGAGAGGGATCTCCACATGCGGATATCATGAAGTGTTCTATTGCGGGAAAATGGCAAATGAGTTTAGCGATGAGAGGTGGATATACGTTGTGCCAGCCGATCATTTTCAGAGTGGTAAGATTGGCATAGGTTGCCCAGAACGGTTCTTTGGAACCTTCCACCCAAATAGGACCAACTTCTCTTGCAAATGTTTCGCGAATGTCCAGAGCCTCCAAGCCTGTAAAACGGGTACGAAGTAGTGTGTATACCGTGGAGGGTATGGAATCAAAATATACATCTAACCTCTTTATTAGTTTGGCTTGGTTAGACTTTGCTATTTCGTAAAATAAGTCTTGATCATTAGTGCTGATATCGCCTCCCGGGTGAACACGGCTTAAATCAGAGTAAAACCCTAGAGATCGGAGTCGCTTGTTCTCGATGCACGACATAATTTCTGCTGCAAGCGACGTTTGCGTGAAGGACTGGGGTGTCGTTACGGTTCTATCATAGTATAAGCCAAGAGATTGAACATTGCCACATAAAGACAATATTCTAGTCAGCCTCATCTCATCAGAACCATTGCCGTTCACGACTAGACGAGCGCGAATGATAGTGATATGTTCTCCATACTTCCTGACAATTTCGTCATCGGCCGTCTCCTCCTCTGGGTCAAACAGATTGAGCTCCTGATATACAAATGCCGTGAAAACCTCGTTGAAGAATCGGTTGACCCTGTCTATGAGTCATTATGCAGATTCAGCCTATTTTCATATGGTGGGCTACTTACAGCCTTAGTGGAAGAAGTGTTCTATAATGGACAGTGGGATCATGATTAGCGCTAGGTAATTCCTCTTCAAAATCACTGAGTTCTTCGTATATCGAGCGTCTCTTCTGATGTCTCAGATGTTCGCGGGACCACCAGTTTGGAATGGCATCTCTTTCATCCCAGACCGCATCTCTGGCCAATGTTGGTGGGGAAAACGAGGGTTTTAAATTTTGAAGAATACTTCTTATCAGTTCCACTGGGAGGGTGTCCATGTCAAATACGGGTTATTACCCAAACTGCTCAGGCAAAGTTCGGTCCAAGATGGATTCGGTGCCGAGTGGTTGTTATCCAGACTCAACACTTGCACTCCATTCGCGTCCTTACTTCAGATACAATTAGTTCGACTTGGGTTTTTACGAATCTCTATTTGCTTTAACTATCAAGCATGACACTAATGAGGGAAGGAAACCTATCTAGGTGGTTACATTGCCAACTATTAATCGAAAGGAAGAGTTTACCGTAACCCAAAGAGCCGCTTAATGTCCCAGTGGGCATTTCTTCAAATCCATTGGTCGACTATAGTCGACTTTTCGTAAGGGAGGGTCGATATCAGCCAAAGGTGTTGTTTAACGTCAGGTCGTCGAGCTTTCCGGGAGATCTGCACAAGGACACAAGGTGTAAAACTTTCTTCTGCCTCTTCTCAATAACTGGGGCTATATATCGGTTATAGACGCCGACTACTTTGGCCCCACAGCGGGAATGGACCTTGCCATTTAAATGTGTGGCTTGATGGTTTGACGCCCTGTTGAACCGATATTCCCGAGACGATATTAGTTGTTCTATGGGTAGAACCCAATAGAGAACCGCTTTCTGACCTGATGGGCCACAAAGTTACCTTTCTAGTCGTAACTTCTGCCATAATAGGCAGTATATGAATCGCCTTCCAAACAGTATAATCAAATAGACTGGATATTAACGCACAATGATAAATTATCCCGGCCTTCTTCACAATGATCAGGGCCCCTGAGATCTATATTGGCCCTGACGATACAGATCTGTCGCCCATATCGAGATGTAACCTCATTTTCGATCTCATCTCTTGTACTGAATAGATCAGTTTCTTAATAAACAAGGAGTTGAAAGGCGACTGACCTGGTGTGACTCCACTCTTCGACTCCAAATCGATCACTTACAGCACCTGAGGAAGGATCTCCTTGTACTGGTCTAGATATCCCAAGAGCCGGTAATTATGCATTAGGAATTGCTTTACCATCTTCACTTGTTGAATGCCGGTCCATCAATTTCGTGCCCAACGCCATTTCTGGGGTCAGTTGGCAGTAGTCCTCTATCGAGACTAGATCCGTTATGTATCCCTGCTATCTCCCATTCGAAATAGAGGAGTCACTGCATTGAAGACCTTTCTTCTTATGTAGACAGCCAATTGGGGCGATACAAGTACTTTCTGTAGTCGCCCAGCCCGCATCTACAAATATCTTCAGTGAGACAGTTTCGAGTTCGAGACAGAAAAAGATATCTGTGTTGATTCGATCAGGGTGGGGTATATTTGGGGCGCGGCCAAGAATCGCGGGTGTGGATGGTGGCGAAAACTACAAGATCACATGACTCCACTGAGCGCTTTCGGTGACTTGCCCTGTCTCTCGACTGGCGTCTTTTAAGCTCGAAGTGACCATGAATAAATAGTAAAATTGAAATACAAGGTTAGATACATTTAGTCAAATGCCACAAGGTCAGTTTCAACTACAGCTCAGCAAGGAATCAAAGTCCCTGGCAAGCAGCCCAGTATTGATATAATCGTCACCACAATGCATACCTGCTGTGTACAATCCATTTCCCGTCTCGTCTCAGCTCTATTCCCCTCTTGTCGCAGACCTCCTGCAGAGCAGTTGCGACGGTCTTCTCCCGTACTCGGTTGTACTCGTTCCCAAAACCAGTCTCTAGAGACTCTGCCCGTAGGACTTGTAGACGTGGGTAGATTTCAGGATCCACAGTGAAGGAACTGGAAAGATGTGTCGCGACCAGGCTGACTGCGATAAGCTCGTCGACAGGAATTGTACCCATAGCGAGGATCTCCCAGTGGATCATATGCTCTAGGTGGAGGCACTTGAGGGGACGGCGATGATGCCACCAACCAGTTCTCATTAAACTCCAGCCCTGCGGTCGAGGTGGTGGTTCTATATCCGAAGGATCACCACAAGCAGAAACCAAGAGGTGTTCCAGAGCTGCAAAATGCTGTACTAGCTCCGGAACATCAGGGGGATAAACGCTGGTGCACCCAATCAGCTGAAGAGATGTGAGGTTGTCGTAGGACGCCCATATCTTGCAGCAACCTCCAGACCATATGGATCCATCTAGGCGCCGAAGTGCTTTTCGGACCGTTAGAGATTGTAATGAAGTAAACCTTGAACATATTAAGTCGCGGGTTGTGGCTGGAACACGTGGGAGTGCGATGTCCAATCGCTTGAGCAGAGATGCCGACTCGGACTGGGCTATTTCGTCGAAGAGAGGTCCCGCGAATGGAACCTCCTTATACATGAGGTTGTCCTGGACGACTTTGCACGAGTAGAAGCCTATGCTGTCGAGATTCCCCTCCTTGATCATTCTAATGATAGTGTCGGGCAAGGTTGAGGATAATCTGAAGTTTGTGGGCGAATTGATCGAGTTATAGTATAGTGCAAGGGAGCTAATGTTGTGACAGTAGCCGAGAATCTTCAGGATCGATTCCTCCGGAACTTGCCGAGCGATTCCATTCATCAGTATGCGTAAGGTTCGAACGTGCTGGCCATATTTCGCCGCAACAAAGTAGTGTATACTTTGAGACGTGATCCCACCACTTAGGAAGTTGAGCTCTTGGTACAACAGGGGTGTGCATAGCTCGTTAAACTGTCTGTTAACCCTATAAACTCTCAAACATTAGTCAAAAGAGGCAAAATAGTCCAGAAGACTTGCTGTCGGAGTGTCCGTAACGTTTGCTGTGGTGTAGGAATCCTCTGTAGTTGCCCATCCTGAACACTCTGGTCACTAGACTCTGCATACTCATCGTCAGAGTCCTCATCGCTCAGACTCATATGCT